TATATATATATATATATATATATATATATATATATATATATTATTATATTATTATTATTATATATATATATATATATATATATTAATTAATATATNTTTTTNNTTATTTTCTTTTTTTAGCTAAAACGGTTTGGCTATATCCGTTAAACCTTATCGAGTTTGACTAATTAATTTTGTTTTATATAAGTGTTGCTAGCTCTTTATTAGACTTCTTCGCTCATTTAATAAAATGTTGCTAGCTATCCTATGTAACGTGAAAGCACACTGAATACAATTACAAATGACTTATGTTGCCAGCCGTCTTTGGAGAAACTATATAATCTTTGCCGGCCAACACTGGGAACTACATCTTGGCTTAGGTGAAGCTCTCAAGTGCATAATCTTGCCTTACTTTAATCTCGCTGGCCAACATTGAGAGCCACTTTGTAATTGGATCAAGTTTTGTGGATTTTTATCAAGATAAGTGATTAGAAAGTCAATTCCTGTTCTCATCAAGTCAATGGATCACTACTCCAATAATTAAAACATAATTTAACCGATAAGTAAAAATTACTGATGTTTTTGAGGCTTTTTATCCTCTTTTGGTAACACAATTGCAGATAGATATGTCGTCGACTGCAAGTAATTTAATTTAACTGAAAATGAGAATTCATCATTTTCCATCAAATTTCTGGGCATTATTGAAAATTTAACGAGAAATATCGGAATATCCTGCTCAAAAAAACAAAAAATACTTCCATATTTTATTTTTCAGAATTGATAATATTTTAATCGACAGCTGCTAAAAATCATACCATGGATCCGAATTAATAATTACCCGATATGTTTTTCACATTTTTTGTGATGCAAAATGAAAAACGTTATTGATGCAACGCTTGCATTTTTTATACTTTCGAAAAATTATGCATCCATCATTTTCTTCCTTTAATTAGCCTTATTTTGTAAGTTTTTTTTTTTCCATGGTTGATACAAAGAAGCTCGCTGTATTGTTGGGCAATTTTATAATAAAAAATTAATTGCTATTTTATTTCTATCATTTATTATATAAATAAACATTATTTATTTTTGAAGTTTCCCTATGCACTGTATTAATTATATGAGTATATTAATTGTAACAAATTTAATCCCATTTAGAATCTAAGGCAAAAGTGGTATTGTTCACGCTCTTCAATTTTTCTGATTTTAATAGTTGATGTTTTACATGGGACGAGAAATTTGTAATACTTTTTCACTCTCTCAATAATATGATTGTTTAATCAATTAGAGGCCAGTATTATGATTATTGGAATAATCAGAAGTGATAACCGTCCTTATACAATACGTTCCATGTGAACATATTTACTTGATTATAATGATAGCTTCTCTATTCAAAATTTTAGCCTTTGTTATCATTGTCGGGAAATCCGAACTAGCTTACTCAATTTGATTCGTATTTATTTATGATTTATATTGATTTTCAGCCTTCAAAGTTCCCCCTCCATTACCTATTCTGTGAGTCATCTGTCTACGGTAATATACAAAAGGACTAATGCCAGTGTATCGTCTATTACGGTACCGTCTGGAGATTTTCTTGAAAAATCCCCTTCCTGCTTTTGTTTCCTTTCCAGACATTGCAACCTCGCCCATCTGTCTACTATATATAAGGCCTCATATCACCAATTGAGACTCTTGTTTATTTGTTCCATTGCTCGCATTCTCTCGAAGAGTTTTACCGATTTTACTTTTGTTATTATATTGGCGGACATTACCTCACCTCGGGCACCAACACTTGTGAAAATTTGATTGACTGATACAGTAGTGGGCAATCCACCAATAGAAATGTTTATTTCAATGAATATGACAACTCAGTCACAAATTTGGAAATACAAACAATTGAATTGCATGCTAATAGCGACAAACAAAAGATTGTTGGGGTTGGAAGAAGATATCATTGTATGTCGGTAAAACAGAATGTATCCGGATTCCCAGATTTAAAGCATATATAGGGGAAGTTTGTTTACCGCGGTCCATAAGGTCAAAACGATTGGCTCCAAGATGACATTTACGACATTTAAACAAAGCGTATAAAATTATTAGAGTAATAAATAGCATATATACAAGGAGCGGCATGTAAGATCAAGAAGAGTATATTATTGTTACAGCACTATACAATGGCACGTCTGACCTTTACAACACTAGGACAAGGGCGTGGACATGTTTGACCTCAACAAATCTCAAAAAGGGCATTATATTTATATCAAATTTAATCTCCACTTTAAGCCCAAATCCAAGAGGGGCGGATTTCAAGGAGGAGGCCTAAAGACAACAATCTTCAAACAGCATCTTTAAACAAGACTTGAAGACCACTCCACAGGTCTCTTTCTCAAAGCGCTTTGGTAACATATTAAAAACAGCATCTTATAGTCTTCCGAGGTATCCTTAGGCTTTTTATTCAAGAAAAACGAAGATTGGCTTGCAATTAGTTTCAACAGAAGCCTTGCTACGTCCATAACAAGTGGTGGATCAACCTAGCAGAAAAGAGTCAACTGTGTGCAGATTGGGCGACCACAGAAATTCCATGAGGCTCTGAAAGCAATATACGGACCCATATACCAAGCTGAAAGGTCCCTACTCAGCTCAGATGACCAAGTGCTTCTCATAGATAAAATCTCCATCCTGAATCGATACTCCTGACATTTCCAGACTCTTTTCAGTGCCATCATATGGTCTCAAAGGTTGAGGAATTTTAGTACATTACACAGCAACCGGTGAAAAACGAAGCGGATAGTCCCGACTCCATGATAAAGTTCAGGAGCTTGCTGTCCCTCGCTGGAAAAATGTAAATTTACCACAAGATCTCCATGATGTAATTATCACCAACCTGTAAAAAAAGGAGAAAAATCATATGCAAATGGAACTCCTAGAACCTTGCGAAACCGACATCAGAGTTGCAACTTTTTTTTCCCCCTCAAACTTGGATAATCAAACTACTGCATAAAAGAAACAATATTAACGTCGCATAATTACTCAAAATTAACCGTAAAGGTAAGCTCCAAAAACGCCCGCCACAAGATAAATTCTAAAGATCCCCAATAAATAAAAGAGATGAATGTCATCCTACTGTGTGCAGGGTTTATATACCCTTCACAGATGTATATCCTTCACAGATCCTTCACAGGTTTGATTTTGCAATTACAAGAACTGGTATGTTTGCCAGCGCACGTTGATCTAGGGTTGATCTTGCGCGTATTGCAAAATAATAAGTGTATGTACAATTCGATGTACAGTGATAGAGAATTTGAATGGTTTTGAATTCTTATTCACAATCCAATTTGGTAAATACAAATTGGACATCATAATAAGTCATTTATGAGCTTTTATACTTTTTGTCATGAAACTACAGACTGTTCAAATTACTAAGGTATTACTTTTGTCTCTATAACAGAACTAAAGAGATGGAACTTTCGTAGACTTCCCACGGCTTTCGACATTGTGTTAGAAAAAAAACCTGCCGCAGATCCTGAAATGATTAGAATATTTCCCTATATTCCTCAATACATGACGATCAGAGTGGTCAAGTCAGTATGTGATTATGCACTCTCTCAGCCCTTCCCAATAAACCAATGGTGTGAAACAAGACTGCATTATCATACTAGCTCCATTCACAGTATTCTTCAGCATGCTGATCCAAAGAGCCTCGATGAAGAAAACGCATTTACTACCGATATCATACAATGGAAGCCTGTTTAAACCAAGACAACTGAAGGCTCACAGGAAAACCTCAAACCATCTTGTCCGCGAGTTGCTTTTAATGTTGTTCTCGTTGTCCACAAAGAAACAGACAGATCTGCAGTACTTAACACCTTTTTCAAAAGACTACCGAGCTTTTTTCCAAAGACTTTCTAAAGGCAAATCAAAGCTTAATTCAATTCAACAGTTCAGCTATTTCAGGAGCATTATTGGGCAAGAGAGACAAGTTAACGAAAGCATACAGAGCTTTCGGAAAACTCCATGAAAAAGTCTGATCCAATAAATTGTGCTCTATGGTGAATTCGCTACAGGTCTCCGCGAAAGCGCCTAAAAAAGGAGATACAAGATAACAATATTCAATTTTGACAATATTGACTACCACCAACGGTCCACTCTCGCTGTCGCAAATTCCGATTCGCGAGACTCCAACCATACCTCAAACAAACAAATAAATAATCAAATAAATTCCTTGTTGTAAATGAATGTTCCAAATGTGAATCATTTAGCAAAACTTACATCCCTTAGATTTATTTTTTCCGTTTCAATTCCCGTGTTCTTCCTTTATGTCTAAGCACATGTCTTTGTTTAGAAATGCTTTGTTAGCAATTGCTTCAAATATCCAAATCCACATCTTAAACATCTCCTTTATTCTTGTTCCCCCAAGAAATTCACATCTTCGTTCGATCTCCTAAGATGCTTGTACTGTAATTGAACGTTAGTTTCCGTATGTAAGCCGTATTGAGTGAACAAAAGGAGTTTTTTTCGATTATTCTCGATCAGTTTGGACTATCCTTTTTTTTCATCATTATCAGCAGTATTTGTCGTTTTTGTGACCTTACCCTTGACAAGTAAAGAATCAACTCTTGCTTTTGTCCACAACGTACGACACACGCACATCGTCCACATCAAACTTGGTGCAACTAATATTTAAGTGACCTCAATTCTTCTCCTCCACAACCAACGTGTAAAAAAAAAAAGCTTGTTTCCAACTATTGACTGACTGCAAAATACTTCAACAAAAATTCACGACACTGGCTTCGAATCAAGAAACAGGGAGACATAAAGCATAACACCGCTGCTTTGATAACACAGCAGAATCAGTTTCGAAAAGACAGTGCAGAAAGAATGCTGCCTTGTCTACTCCACCTAAAGGGACCCTCCGCTATGCTTTTTGCAACTAGTCTATCCCGCACCAGCATGCTTGCAGCAAACAGCAAGTCTTCCATACCTCCATTCGCGAGGCCTAGCCATGCTGATGATAATCTGGGCCGTCTGACGTCTGTGAATAAAATCAACAAAAATATTTAGATCCATTTCGGACTGGGAAATTTTCTCTATAAATTTCTGTTGAAAATAACTGAAGTTTTATTGAGATTAACTCATTTTCCCAGGATTTAAAAATGAATCCTCTAAAAATTAGCAAAACACAAATGCCAAAAAAATGTCATCTCCAAGAACCGTCTTTCCTTCGCGGATAAGCAATAGACCGAACTAAGTTCAACATAAAAAAAAGCAATTATATATATATATATATATATATATATATATATATATATATATATATATATATATATATATATATATATATATATATATAT